CTTCATTACTTTCAACCTAAATCCTTTTCAATAGAAACTTTTGTAAATCACAAAATCTTTCTAGATTCGGGACTAACCCTATGACGAATTTCTATATAGTTTATTAATCTTAACTAAAAAAAAAATTCGCAATGGTATTTGCTTTTCGAACTCGATAGTCTTTCACTAGGAAACCATTGTTAATGGACCAATCACGAAACGACTCAGATTTCGAGATCGGGACATTTTGTGTCACCCATAATAGACCTTATACGGACTATTATTATGTTTCTAAGAATGAACAACCAATAGAAAATTAGTATCTCTCTTAACATATTTAATATATGCGAATATGACATAATACATTATTATTATTATATATATACAACCAAACTATTAAATCTTAACAAATTTTGAAATATTAATTTTATTAATTTATATATAATATAATTTGTGGCGGAAATTACTAAATCGAGAATTTCTAGTTGAAAGAACTTTAAATTCCCACATTTTCACAAAAAAAAAAAAATTTCTACCCCTTTTTTGACCTAAAAAAAATTATATGACTTGTTAGATCTAGAATGAGGTGTTATCTTTAAACATCAACGAATACCTTATGCCTGTCTAACTGTCGTTATCTCAGGGTATTAACGAACTTTTTAAAGTATGTACATTTATTATGTTACGAAATTGGCTTTAAAACAAAGTGTAGTTTTTTGTGATTTTAAATTTTCTCTCTCTTTAATACTTTTAAAATGTTCTATTTTTTCGGAGCATCATAATAACGATTTTTTATTTGTATAAATTCAGTATTTTTCAATGAAACCATATTCTCCAAGAAAAAAAAAGCTTAAATTCGAATTTTCAGAAATACAAATGGCTACAACAAGTGCAGATTCTTCATCCTCTATGATTATTTCTCCAGCAGCATCATCATCATCATTTGCTGCTGCTTCTCCATCATTCTCGAATAATTCACAAGCTTCATTAACTCCTTCGGTTCCAAATCATCATATTCCTGTAGCTGTTACAATTCCTCCTGAAATCTTTATTAAAATATGTGAACATCTACCACCATCAGACCTTTTGGTATTAACAGGTGTTTGTAGAAGATTTCGAGGATTTTTATGTTCTCCAGAATCCTCTATTACACAAGATATTTGGCGAACTTCTCGAGTTAATTTTCTTCCAAGTCTTCAATTACCACCACCTGATGGAATGTACGAAGAAGAATATATTCGATTTGGAAAATTGTTAACCAACTGTCAATATTGTTTAACCAAAAAAACCGTAAAGGTTTATTGGCAATTTCGTGTAAGATGTTGTCAAGAATGTTTGTCGAAAAACACCACTCCGATTGTGTCAGTATATATATTTTTCTATTTAAAATAAATCGTATTTATTATACATTAATTTAAAATATATTTATTGTTTTAATATTGAATAGTTTTAGCAAAACTTATGAGTGGATGAACGACAGCGTTCTTAGCGGATTGGCGTATGTACGTCATAATAACCAAGTTCTTTTCTGGTATCCTGATGTTAAATCATCATACAAAGAATTTGAGGCGATCAGTGGCAATAAATATTTGGAGTGGGTCGAAAAAAGAAA